CAGAATTGCACAATTAACAAAGCATATTTTAGGTCTCTCTTGTTTACCTTCCTCTGAAGCATGCAGCACAGTACTGGCTGCTGCAGGAGGCAGGATATCGAATTTGATGGTTTGTTTGTGCATAGCACATCTTATGCCCCTGCCTAACATGGTAAAACATTTCATTGATTGGTCAAGCTCTCCTTTTCAGATACCACAACCAAAACAAGCCTTCACAGCCCTTGGACTTCATGGACTTTAATGTCTCTCCCCACATCTCTCAACCCCCCTCTGCTAATGTTGTTGTTCTTAAAATATCTGAAATCACTGGCAATTGATGATATAGGTTTAATATGTATTTCCTGTGCCCCTCCTTCTAAATGTATTGATTTGATACCATTTAACAATTATCTCTATACTTAAGAGAACACATCTCTAGGGATTGGCCACCTATTTCCCCCTCACTGCCCTGCTTTCCTCCCCCCCCCCAAAAAAAAACTATTAAAATTATTATCCATCAAGCAACTTTTAAAAAAATCTATAGAAAAATGCATATGCAAAGGCATTTTAAAAAAAGAATATTTATTCCCTACCATTCTCTCACTCCTTTTTTTTTTTTTTTTTAAGTGAAAGCAAGGTCAGCATTGCTTTAGTAAAGTATGTTGCTGTTTACATTTACTGTAGTGCCCTTTGGTTCAAAAGCCTCTATGGGAATTTAACAAACTGGACAGCTAATTGCTTTGAGCACCTTTTTAAAGTTCACACTGATTACGACATGGAATTGTGTTGTGCTGTGTTAATAGGCTTGCAGCAGAAGTCTCTTGAGATATTTTTTTTTCTCCTTTTCCGCCTGTGTTATGCTTTTGTGTCTGAAATTTAAGGATCCTTCCAAAGTGGAAGCACGTGCTAACAACAAATAACCTATCCGCACACTACTTTATAAAAACCCCAAGCTTTGTTTTCTTGGGTCATTTGTGGTTCCCATATGGCTTGGTTTATCTTGGGTAGCACACTCTTTTCTGAGACAAAAGGTCTTTCTTTGCCTCAAACAAGCGCTGGGCTCAGACTCGTTCCCAGTGCTGATACTGCAGAGCAATTTTAGGCAGGTTGTATGGCATTAGAGATTTATCTTTGGAGAAGATAAACCGAAGTCCCTCTCTGTCTGTTTCTGGTAAGAATGGAAGTTAACCCTGGCATCCTGTGAGACAGGTTCTGAGGTCTGTTTATGAGTCACCAAAGCTTGCATAACTGTGCTGTATTAATAAACACAATTACCGCGTTAAGAACAGGAGTACTTGTGGCACCTTAGAGACTAACAAATTTATTAGAGCATAAGCTTTCGTGGGCTACAGCCCACTTCTTCGGATGCATATAGAGTGGAACATATATTGAGGAGATATATATACACACATACAGAGAGCATGAACAGATGGGAGTTGTCTTACCAACTCTGAGAGGCCAATTAAGTAAGAGAAAAAAACTTTTGAAGTGATAATCAAGATAGCTCAGTACAGACAGTTTGATAAGAAGTGTGAGAATACTTACAAGGGGAGATAGATTCAGTGTTTGTAATGGCTCAGCCATTCCCAGTCCTTATTCAATCCTGAGTTGATTGTATCTAGTTTGCATATCAATTCCAGCTCAGCAGTCTCTCGTTGGAGTCTGTTTTTGAAGTTTTTCTGTTGTAAGATAGCCACCCGCAGGCCTGTCATTGAATGGCCAGACAGGTTAAAGTGTTCTCCCACTGGTTTTTGAGTATTATGATTCCTGATGTCAGATTTGTGTCCATTAATTGGTAGATGTGATATATGCCTGAGGGGCTCGTTCACCTGCACATCTACCAATGTGATATATGCCATCATGTGCCAGCAATGCCCCTCTGCCATGTACATTGGCCAAACCGGACAGTCTCTACGCAAAAGAATTAATGGACACAAATCTAACATCAGGAATCATAATACTCAAAAACCAGTGGGAGAACACTTTTTAACTGAGCTATCTTGATTATCACTTCAAAAGTTTTTTTCTCTTACTTAATTGGCCTCTCAGAGTTGGTAAGACAACTCCCACCTGTTCATGCTCTCTGTATGTGTGTATATATATCTCCTCAATATATGTTCCACTCTATATGCATCCGAAGAAGTGGGCTGTAGCCCACGAAAGCTTATGCTCTAATAAATTTGTTAGTCTCTAAGGTGCCACAAGTACTCCTGTTCTTTTTGCGGATACAGACTAACACGGCTGCTACTCTGAAACCTGAATTACCGCGTTGTCACTGTTAGCTCTTTATACGGATCGGTTATTCTTGTTGGTCAACGGGAACAAAAATTGATGATTTGCATCCTCAGTAATGACAGGTTAGGTTAAATATTAGGAAAACTTGCAAAGGAGCAAACTGCCAAGGATAGTTGTACAATCGCTATTATTGGGTACATTCAAGGTTATGCTCAATATGCATCCATGGGTTCAGAAAATAAAACACATCCTAGTATTGTGTGGTGGATGGCGTATACCATTGCTGAACTCCTTGACTTCCCTTCCAAACTTAATAAACCTGGTTTACTACAAGCTTTGGGAAATCTGGATTCTGAAAGGTGCTAAAGAAAGAAAACAAATTCTGTTCTATTGCTCTCGTTATAAGGAATTTATTTTTATGAGGGTTTTGCAAAGCCCAAGGCATCCTTTTGATCAAGAGTTTTGTATTAATGTTTCTTGCCCATCTAAAGGACTCTAAAAATGGATTTATCACAGATCTAATTTAAATTAGAGAATGAATAAGGGATGCGGGTTTTTTTCATGTAGACCAAGCACTTATCTGTATATTTGTATTGTAAAAAGTGAAGCCTGATGTACTTTGATATTGGATTTTGTGGGCAGGACAGCGTGAATTGAGAAATGCCCTTCTCACTTGAGCACAAAGATGACCTAAAGCAAGCAAGCTGAGAGAATTTCAAAGTTTGTGTGCCTTCTCCACTGGAAAAGGGGCACAAGTCAAGATCAGCTGATTCAGAGCAAGTTGTCAAATCCCTCTGATTACATCCCAAATGTATTGGTCCTTTTGAGGAAGAACTGTGTGATCTTTTGCTCCATCCACTTTGTTTGAGCACAATTAAATCATAGCCTTGTCAGATCAATTTGCTGGAACCAAAATCTTCGTACGAGTGGAATACAGTTGCTCTTTTCTATAATGGATATTTTATTTTTTATTTCATATTGTCAGATTCTGACCTGCTGTTCCAGACCCTTGCAGCATAAAGATAGGTGAATTCCTTGTTTAGGTTTATAATAGAACTCTTATCTCCAACAGTGTTTTTGTTTTATGATTTAAATTACACCTCTACCCCGATATAACGCTGTCCTCGGGAGCCAAAAAATCTTATTGCGTTATATCGAACTTGCTTTGATCCGCCGGAGTGCGCAGCCCCTCCCCCCCCCCGAGCACTGCTTTACCGCGTTATATCCGAATTCATGTTATATCGGGTAGAGGTGTATTAAAATATTTAAAAACTCATTTAGACAAATTCATCCTTGGTGCAAACCCAATGGAGTTACACCATGAATGCTTATTTATTGTTGTATTTAATTGTGTTTATTATGGTAGTTCTTAGGGACCAACCAAGAATGGGGCCCCATTTTGTTAGGCACTGCATATACTTTATTGTTTCATTGATTAGCACAAGCGTGTAGTGTAGTGTGTAGCACAAGTGTGATTAGGGTAGTGCTGCTTCAAGTTATAATAAAGTAACGCTAATAACATAATACATTTATACAGCACCTTTTCATGAAAAGCCCTAGAGCTCTTTACATTTCAGCACAATTACAAAGATATATCAAACACTTCAACTCTTGATTTAGAAACTAAAACTGACTCAGCCTTCTGCATATAAAAAGGTTGTTGGATTGCATAGTCCTGGGGCATAGACACTAAAAGCTTGAGTGTCAAATGTGCCTAAATTATATACAAGGCAATCCATCAAATCTGCAGGTTCTGACCTTATTTTAAAAAAAAGAAAAATAAATAGGTGTGAGAACGTCAGAAAATAGTAAGTTGGGAAGATATTCAGCCTCAGTGTTGTTATTCCAAACCACAGCCCCAACCCAGCCCTGAATTCCATGCAAGTGACCTGTACTCCCCCACAGAAGTCCATTGAAGCTGGTAAAACTCTGCATGGCCAACGTTGTCTGTCTGCATTGCTCAGTTTGCAGGATTGGAGCTCTTTGTTGCTTTTAACTTAGCTCTTTGTTTTGGTGTGACATTCAGGATGCAAGATTTCACCCAAAGAGAACTCTTTTCTCAAGGGAAACATTGGTGTTTTTGCAGAACAATACACCAGAAGAATGCAGAGGGGCTGGAATAGGACATGGATCTGGCCCTGTGATTATGGCCTAGATAGAGTTATAATCATTGGAAGCAGGCAGAAAAGGAATTCTTGTCAAATATAACAAGCTTGGCTATTACTTTTTACTGAGAATGATGATTAGAGACTTTCAAATATTCTAACTCCTTATAGTTACACTAAAAGGACCGGTGCTTTGAATAAGTTAACTTGAGGGTCAAATGTTTTAAATAAGAAATTATAATTATAGCATCTGCAAAGTTCTGAAAATGTCAAAGTGAGTGGAAGTTAGTGCAGAATTTGGCTTGGTGTTCCTTTTATGCAAACTGTCGCAGAGGTTAACATTTCAGAGTTTCTATGTGCTAGTGACGTGCACTTGTTCTCTCTGTGTTCACAAGCCTTCCTTTCCACGGCTTGTTCAAGCTGTTGCTGTATCAAAACCCAGGGGCCAAATCCAGCGCTGGTATAAATTGACATCACTCCATTTAAGTCAAGGGAGATGTGTCGTTTTACACCAGCTGAGGAGCTGGCCCCACATCCGTAGGTGGCGTGTGTTTAATATTTCACTAGAGGTTATTATTTGTCATCTCCACTATGTCTATTATTAATACTGCTTTACAAGGCTGCTTTACTCTTGTTTGAGGGAAAAAAACTCTCTACAAAGCCTTTTCTTTTCCTTTGCAGTTTTGTATGGAGTTGAACCAGCCGACTCTGCCAAACATCCGCAAATGGAAGGGCCCTAGAGGATGCTGGAAGGGTGTTGTTTCCGAGAAACCTTCAGGCGAGCTACATAAGGTACATTAATCCCTAAAGCTTGACCTTTTACTTCATTTTATTTTGCGCAAGCCAAGGACATATTTTTAATTTGGGCCAGAGCATTCTGCAATTTTTTTGCGGAGGAGATGGGGGGGCAAGGTTTGCAATTCTCTTCTATTTTGAGCTGACTCTTCTTGTGGTATTTGACTTTACTTTTGTTGTTGATTTTTTTCAAAGAGTGGTTTTTCTTTCTGTGTAGCCAGGAATCAAGGAAAAAATATATATTTAAAAAAGAAGAGTGTGTGGCTAAGACCACACAATAGGATAAGAAGATAGTCTTGCATTCTGCCTGCTGAAATACTGAAGTACTTCCCAAGTACTTTTCTGCTAGTTAGCTAACCTTGTTCCATGATAAAATGTTGGCTGGAAGTTGGCAATGTGTCCAGTTTTCTTAGTTTGCAAATTAAGACCTCACAGGGAATCTGTGCAGTGCTCTTTTGTCATCTGGAAAAGTAGCTTACGTTCTATGTTCCATAAACTGTACCTTGCATATATTTAAATTACACTGTGGGCACTGTTAAAAAATAAACACAGTACTGCAGTGTTACTTTTACTGCAGCACTTCCTATATTTAGAGTGTATATTGCAGCAAAGTATTTATCCTGTAATGTAATAACAGTTATTTATTGGCACCTACCGCTGTTGACAATATACAAAATATATTTACACTGAGCTAGATTCTGCCAGCTCTTTGAGTAGCTGTCTCATTTATTCCAGCGAGACTACCTGAGGAGTAAAGTACTCTTCAGCATGCCAGGATCTGGTCTGTTATTAAATATGGTAATTTGCATGACACTTATAATTGTATAGTTCTGCACCCATCATGTCATGAAGATGAGACATGTCCCCATGGAAGGAAATGAATTGTTTGTGGTTGTACAAGGGGATTATTTTCAGTCTATTCTGGGTATTGTTTTTATGAAACAGATGGCAACGGTTGTATCCCATTAAAAACCTCATCACAGTACTGTAAAAAGAACCCACAGCTTAATTTTTCTCCTCCACATATGAATCATGTTACTATTCAAGTTTGTTCATGTCTTGTTGTGACAGTTGTTGGGTGCTGTCATGGTTTTGAAGTGGAAGCTAAAGGGGAAAAAAAGCATTTCCTTTACAAATTAGACACAGCTACTGGGACTAATCGAAAAGCCACATAAGCATCATAAGAAATGTATTCTAGCAATCACTGGAAACACGTTGATGATTTGAATGTTTTTTAATAGGGCTGTCAAGCGATTACAAAATTAATCGTGATTAATCGTGCTGTTAAACAATAATAGGATACCATTTATTTAAATATTTTTTGATGTTTTCTACAGTTTCAAATATATTGACTATAACACAGAATACAAAGTGTACAGTGCTCACTTTACATTTATTTTTATTACAAATATTTGCACTGTAAAAAACCAAAGAAATTGTATTTTTCAAATCACCTCATACAAGTACTGTAGTGCAATCTCTACGATGAAAGTGCAACTTACAAATATAGATTTATTTATTTTTTTGGTTACATAACTGCACTCAAAAACAAAACAATGTAAAACTTTAGCGCCTACAAGTCCACTCAATCCTACTTCTTGTTCAGCCAATTGCTCAGACAAGCAAGCTTGTTTACATTTGCAAGAGATAATGCTGCCGCTTCTTGTTTATAGTGTCACCTGAAAGTGAGAACAGGCATTCGCATGGCACTGTTGTAGCCAATGTCGCAAGATATTTATGTGCCAAATGCGGTAAAGATTCATATGTCCCTTCATGCTTCAACCACCATTCCAGAGGACGTGTCCATGCTGATGACGGGTTCTGTTCGATAACGATTCACATGTTCATTTTCATCATCTGAGTCAGATGCCACCAGCAGAAGGTTGATTTTCTTTTCTGGTGGTTTGGGGTCTGTAGTTTCTGCTTCATAGTGTTGCTCTTCCAAGACTTCTGAAAGCATGCTCCACACCTCATACGACTCAGATTTTGGAAGGCACTTCAGATTCTTAAACCTTGGGTCGAGTGCTTTAGCTATCTTTAGAAATCTCACATTGGTACCTTCTTTGCGTTTTGTCAAATCTGCAGTGAAAGTGTTCTTAAAATGAACAACATGTCTGGGTCATCATCCCAGACTGCTATAACATGAAATGTATGGCAGAATGTGGCTAAAACAGAGCAGGAGACATACAATTCTCCCCCAAGGAGTTCAGTCACAAATTTAATTAACGTATTATTTTTTTAATGAGCATCATCAGTATAGAAGCATGTCCTCTGGAATGGTGGCCGAAGCATGAAGGAGCATATGACTGTTTAGCATATCTGGCATGTAAATACCTTGCAGTGCTGGCTATAGAAGTGCCATGTGAATGCCTGTTATCACTTTCAGTTGACATAAATAAGAGGCAGGCAGCATTGTCTCCTGTAAATGTAAATAAACTTGTTTGTCTTAGCGATTGGCTGAACATGAAGTAGGACTGAGTGGACTTGTAGGCTCTAAAGTTTTACATTGTTTTGTTTTTGAGTGCAATTATGTAACCAAAAAAAAATCAGTATATTTGAAAATGTAGAACAACATCCGAAAATATTGAATAAATTTCAATTGGTATTCCATTGTTTAACAGTGCAATTAAAACTGCCATTAATCGTGATTAACTCAAAAAAATTAATCGTGTGAGTTAACTGCAATTAATTGACAGCCTTACGGTTTAAGTTTTAATGTGAATACGTGACAGTACGTATTTGGGTGCACAATGACCTAATTCATTTCAAGGCATTTTTATTCCTTGGTTGGAAAATGCCATTTCTACTCTCTGTTGCCAGATTCACCACAGCATTTGATGGGTGGGAAATAGGAAACCAAAGAGTTATGCAAGTATTCATTTGCTTGTTTTAAGAACACATGTAGCTGCACCTGAGAGAAAACATGGTCTTGTTAATACACTGTGCTACGACTCAGGACAACTGGGTTCATTTCACAGTTCTGTGAGACTTCCTTTGTGACCTTGGTCAGGTGAAGGCGACTTACTTTCTATGCCTCAGCTCCCTTTCTGTAAAATGGGGATTGGGGGTGGGAAAGGAATAATTACTCTTTCTCCCCAGCCTCTGACTGTTTGTGCATCTAGCACAATAGAACCCTGAACTCCGGGCACTGCTATAATAATTATAATTAATAATACATAGGATCATAGAATTGGAAGGGACCTCAGGAGGTCATCTAGTCCAACCCCCTGCTCAAAGCAGGACCAATCTCCAGACAGATTTTTACCCCAGTTCCCTAAATGGCCCCCCAAAGGATTGAACTCACAACCCTGGGTTTAGCAGGCCAATGCTCAAACCACTGAGCTATCCCTCCCTGCAGTTGGTGATTGAGTCAAGGAGGTCTCTGATTTTACTGGTGTTGTGAACCATTAAAATCTAGCTCAGAGTGGATTAGTTAGGTCAACTTAAAATTTCTAAGAATTATGTTCTAGAGCCTCCATCCTGCTAAGGGACCTACAAGCAGGGTCCTTGCTCCTGCACAGAGTCCCATTGGCTTTGATGGGACTCCCATCCCTACGATGGGATGCCGATCACCTTTGTGGCATTGGGATCTATTGTAGCATCTTAAAAATTAGACCAATTGAATACAAAATATAGAAGTGGTGTAAAGTTCCCCCCGTTACCCTTCCAAAAAATTACATATTCACTGTCTTTCTGTATTCCTGGGCCAAATTCAGAAATCTTTTCTCTGCTTTTACTTCTGCCAAACTCCCACTGAAGTCAATGGGAGTTTTAACTGAGTGAGGACGGATTGATTAATAACCATTAAGAACCCTGTTTCACAGGTGCAGAGAAGTTAAATGACCTGCACAAATCACAGAAGAAGTCTATGGCCAAACTAGGAATAAAAATTGTATCTGCTGACTTCTGCTGTGATGTGCTTTATCAAGATGCAAATCTGACTATGCTACTGAGCCACTAGCTATGCCAAGACATACATCCTATCTCTTAGCTTATTTAGTGGCTCAGGAGCGTATAAAGATTTGAGCATTCTGCACACACACAATACAATAACATAGTCTAGCCATATGTTGTGTGGTATCTTTAGCACAAACTGCAGCCCAAAACACTTTACAGTGTTTAATAATACAAAACAGTGGATAGTGGGATGGGGAGACCCATGCTCCCACCCAACCCTTTCATTTGACAGAGGCACCTTCCATTGCGTTTGGTTTCTCAGCCCCTCCAAATATTGATTTCTGGCTGGGAGTGTAATGAGGTAGTCTGGAGCCAGGGAATGGAGAGAACATGGGAGAGCTGTTTTTTCCCTCCTCATCTTACTTATTGTTATGGAACAGTAGTCTTGTGCCAGTTGAAATAGTTGTGGTACTATTTTAAAGCTTGAAGCAGTCTTTAACTGAGCTAGCAAAGAATTTTAGTTAATCCTAATGTCTTCTTACAAAGCCTGTGGAAATATAGCACAGTGGATGCTGCTTTTTTATTGCAGCCGGGAATGGAAAGTCATTTCTACGACTGGCTTTAGCTAGGATTCATTTGGAAGGAGGTGTTTAAAAAAGGTCAGGTAGAGCCAGAGGGGTGTGTGTGTGTGAGAAAGAGAGACAGACAGACAGTAGTGACCCTAGCAAGAGCTCCTGGAGATACTATATCTAAATCAGAGTCGTCTCCTAGAATACCCAGGGAACCGATCTCAGAGTTGCCCGTACTATACCCTTTGAAAGGATGCATTTACACTGCTACCAGCCCATACCGCATGCAGCCATATTACCAGTGAAATAGTTGAGGAGGTTTATTAAATTCAGAGACTGTTGACTAAATGTAGCAGTGCTGTAAGTTACATGGGCCTCAGTTGGCCAGAAGACAGGTACAAGTGGCTGTAAGTAGTGCAAAGCTGTGTAAATTCAGCCCTTGGTGTAAGCGGTTTTCGTTAAGGTCAGTGGAAGTTGTGGCTGAAGCGCCTTGCCGCATCTGGGCTGAATTTGGCCATGGAGCATTCTTTTTAGGGTGTTGTGGACATAAATTCAAGTGAATGGGTAGAGGAGCTGTTTTACTCTCACGTTCTACTGTTTGTAGCTTTGCTCTTCCTCCTCCTCCTCGCCTGGCGTGTGTGGTAAGTTAAACTCATTCTGCGCCTCCACTGGATGCTAAATCAGCCCAAGTTGCCCCGCATTGCCATGGGTCTCGTGTTTTCTGAACAGCTTACGCCACCGTTGATGATACTACTGAACTTGGACCATAGACGCTGGGGGAAGTGACATGCTCCAGGCTGCGTTGGGCTGACTGTAGCCCTGTGTGCGAGTCGTGGAATGATGAAGGGAACGGTGTCACAATGTTTCAGCTTTTGTTACCAGCTTTTTCCCTTTTTAATTGTAGGGTGTCGAATATTCTGGCTTCCTCTGGGACACGACGGCTGGCATCGAACTGAAGGATGCCTCCTCCCAGGAAAGCGCACACACTAATGGCAATGGGAAACACGCCTACCCTCACCCTTACCTTGCACATTTCAAGGTAGCGGCATCGTGTTGAGTTTGCCTTTTTAATTATGTTTCTGTAAAAATGTTTTAGATAGAAAATCTAAAGGAGCAACATTTCCTTTCTAGTGACTAAAAGTTGCCTGGCCTTTAATGGAGGCCAATACATTGACCTGTTGTATCATAAGCAAAGCAGCTTACTCTGACTGTGATAAGGCATTAGCAGGCCTTATTCCTCTGTACTGAAGAGGTGAGAATGAAGGCCCTTCTGCTCCCATGAACAGGGGGTAACAACAATCAGCAGATCTCAGCAGCATAGACGATGGTGTGGAATAGGGCATGCTGACTCTCTGCCATGCTCCACTTCTTTATCAACCCAGGGGGAGCACCTCCACTCCCACTCCACAGGCTATGCATGGTAGGAAGGGAAGGTATGGGGCGGGCTCCATATGTGGCAGTGTCCCCTTTAAACTCCATGGGAAATGTTGATATAAATCCATGCTAATCTTGTTCCACCTTCACTAAATGAACCCCTTTGAGCGTGGGGCAGGTCCAATAGAAATGACCACAGGACCAGTGCAATTATGCCATAAACTCTGGGAGGAGTATGGGAAGCAATGCGGAAGCACAGGGGCTCCAGTAGTCCTGAGATCTGCAGGCTGAGCTACCCCGATGCCTGCAGGGGGCGGGTCAGGCTCAAATCTTTCCCTTGGTGGAGAAATGTAAAGTCAGTTCCACCAGTGAGACCTCACAAAGTTTCTAAGCTCTTTCACTGGGACCGCCCCTTTAGGAGTGTCGTCAAACTCTAGAAGCGTTGTCTGTCTGAAATGGGGTTCTGGCCTGTGTGCCTGTATGTGTGTGAACATAGGAGACCAAGTGTCAACTTGATGCACCTGCCTTCACGTAAAATAAACTGGGGTACAGAGGGATCATGGTTTGTGACTATGATGCCTTTGATAATATTTGAAATGATTTCTAATATGTACAAAAAAGGTCAAAATTAGGGAAATTTAGGGATACTACTGCTTGCTTTTTACACACACCAGATGGTGATCTGAGTACCAGCTGCTAAGTACATGTGCGCTGGGCAGAGAGACCAATGAACAGTTTTCATCAAGGAGTTGTGTTCCCTGTTTGGTCTCTGTGACATTTTAGTACTGGTCACAATATGGGATAATTAATATGTGTAATAACTGAACAAAGTTGGCATTATGTGTATTTTCAGTAGTAACGTGTGTTGTGTTGGTACACAAAGTAAAGAAGCTTATTGCTTATGAAAAGCCACTTGCATCCCCAGCTTGAAAGGATAGAACTATATTGCAACTAGAGCTGCAGAATGTCTGCCCTATACTTTTAAAAGAAAAGAAAAAAATAAATCATACCCTCATCCAGGTGACCAGTCCCAAATGCTAAATACACGTGCTCTAAGTGTGAGTGACCGCATGAAAAGCTTATGCCTTTGTGAACCATCCTGATCCTTTCTTTGTTATGTTGTTTGCTCCTTTTTAGGTGGGAATGAATGATCTAACACTGGTTAACCTTCATCTGGCCCTGTCACCCTCAGCAGGAGAGAATACAGAGAAGAATCATGATAGCCACAAATTAGCAGCCTTTGCACAGACTCTGCAAGAAACACTGAAAGGTTAGACATTATTTTTATCCAAGGATATGCACACAGGTCAGCTTATCTAATACAACTACTGTAATCTAAAACTAAGGTCCACAAACAGCCACATCAACTTTATATTCTCACCATCCAGTTTAAAAGTTCTAAGCTATTTCCATCCCATGAGTTTCTCAGTGTGTTTTTTCTCTGTTTTTTGTCTGACTTTTAAGGCATAAGCTCCTTGGTACAAGGACTACCTTATTGTGCTGGGCACATTGTTGATCCTTAACAATTAACAGTAATTAACATGGGGCCTGATTCACTTGACACTGGTTTGCCATTGATTTATATGGAATTATTCCTGATTGTTAGTTCAGCAAAGCACTATTGATGTCAATGGAATACTCACGTGCTTAAAGTTAAACACGTGCTAAAGTGCTTTGCTGAAATGGGGCTTATGTGAGATCAGAATCAGGACTGGTGGTTTTTCACGCAGAAATTGATTGTATACATTTACTTCAGAGTATTTTTGTAACTACTTTGGAAAAAAACAGTGCATCTCTCAAATCCTTTGATGCACATTTAAAAAAAAGAAGAAGAAAGACAAATCCTAAATTGTTGTAAATTCAGAGTACCGTATATACTCGTTCATAAGCCGAATTATTTTAGTAAAAAAGGGAAGCACCAGAGAAGGGGGTCGGCTTATGAACCGGTATAGAGAGGGAGAGGTGGGACACAGCCCCTCCCCCAACAGAAGGAGCAAGGAGAGGCAGCACAGCCAGCAAAGCCAGAAGGGAAGAGGCGGGGCTAGAGTCTCTCCGCTTCTGGCCATGCTGCTCTCCCCCCAGCCTCCGAAGCAGCTGCAGCTCCGGGGCTGGCAGGCTGCAGCCGTGCCGCTCAGCCCCGCCCCCCAGAGCAGGCTGTGGCCACGCCGCCCAGGCGCCGGAGCATGCTGCGGCCATGCCGCCTGGCCCAGCCCGCTGGAACATACTGCAGCCGCACTGCCCGGTCTGGCCTGCCGGAGCAGCCTGCGGCCGCGTTGCCCAGCCTGCCGGAGCAGCTACAGCCAGGACAGACACATCCTCCCCTGGCCCTTCCCAGATAAGGTGGGATGGGGAGAGTGTGGGGGTCCTGGGCTAGGGGTCATGTGGGGGGTGGTCACAGGGGTTACTCCCCTTACTCCCAGCTTCTCCCCCCCCAAAAATGTCCTCACCAGTTGCTGTCCCAGCCCATCAGGGTAAGCAGCTGGCACACCAGGACACTTTGTTTACTTAGGTTTACCTCCGTGCCTGCAGACGCTCGAGGTAAACAAACCATCTCGGCCCACCAGCAGCTTATCCTGATGGCCCGGGTGCCAAAGTTTGCTGACCCCTGAATTATAGGGTTGGCTTATGAACAGGTTATACAAATTTTCCATTTTTACTTATCCATCTTGGGGAGTCGGCTTATAAAGGAACCGGCTTATGATCGAGTATATACAGTAATTCCACTGACAGCATGTAAATCAGAGTAGATTTTGGCACTGAATATGTAATTTAATAAAGAGAAGCTTGACTCTGTCCCACTTCTGATAACCTGCCTGCTTCCTGTCTGGGTACTTGTAGGTTGGGCTCAAACAGTTTCTTATGAGGCTAAGCAGTGATTTTCCAGTACTTATTGTTTTTGATATTAGGGCTCCTCAGAGGGACCGGGAAAGTGAGCATGTTGTTTGCTGTTTAACAAAGACCAAACAGTTACAAGGTTACGTATGTGATGATTTTCAGTTTGGCCCAGTTTTGCAAGGTCAGTCACTTGAAGAGTTCAGAATCAATACCAATCTCCTATTCCAGGAGAGGTGTGGGTAGTTTTTATGCACACTCTCTTGTTTTCCTTTGAGCTGCAAGATGTCAGACAAGGCTGTTTTTAAATCGTACTGTGTTATGTATTTGTTCACATAACTTGAAATTTGAAAGGATTCTTTAAAAAAAAAGGATCATTTATGTAACCCATATGGGTCAAATTCAAACCTGGCATAACAAGATACAGCTTTATTGAAGCCAATAGAGTTGCACCCACTTACGCTGGGTCTGAATTTAGGTCTACTTCTTTAGAGTTTCAGTTTAGTTCTGTTTTCACTTATTTTAACCAGGGTTTAATATAAGAATGGCCATGCTGTGTCAGACCAATGGTCCTTCTGGTTTGGAGCATTACAGAGGCATGGTACTGTTGGCTTGCGTTCAGTTTTTCACCTAAAGCAGGAATTCAGGCTCTTTGTCTTGTGTGAAGACTGCCATGTATCTTCTCCAAATGTACAGCACACAGGTCCTCATTCGAGAAGGAATTTAAGCAGAGGCATAACTTTGAGCCTAAACCGGGCTGAATTCAGTCCCACTGAAGTCAATGAGATGACTCATGTACTTGAAACAGAGCACGTGCGTAACTTTCTTCCTTAATCAGGCCATAATATGTGGATAGTAAAGACAGGATTTCACCGGGATACTCAAGTCTGTCACTTAGTTTATGAGTTAAAATGAAGTAAAGTGGGACTTTAAGGAAAACTTTTCTGCTTTCAGACTCCTTTTGTGAACAAATGGCAGGTTTGTTGTCTTGCACACGTGTGAAGTGGTACCTGTACATTGGAGGAAGCTAGTTATTAAGCATAGCTCCCTCATGGAGCACCTTGGGTCCTCAAGAGCAATAGAGTCTCCTTGTTCCTCCCTCATCAGTGACCCTATGGTCTTAGGCCAGTGAGCCCTGGATTCTTTGTGCTCTTCCTTCCAGGAGCGATTGAGAGGCTGTCTCTCCTACAGCTGCTAGGAGCTGACCCCATGCAGCCAACTCCTTTTTTTCCTCTCAAACACTTTGCCTGTCTGGGTTCAATGCACAAGTCTGCGTGGTCCCACCCATATACAAGCCATCCTGGGCCAGCAGTTGGTTGTCCTAATATGTCAGTCAGGCTCCATGCCCAGTAACTCCCCCTCTCCCTTGCTGGCCAAGCCCCCACAGGCTGTCCATGTATTGGGCACCCAGTTTAGACAGATCTTTGAGGTTCTGGGAGAGTCCTTCTTTCTGGAACCTCCTCATAGGTTCCGTGCTCCGTGTCATGCCCTTCTCATGATCAGGCCATCACTTCCTTCAAGATGAGGTCAGGTCTTACCCTAGCACATGGTGGAAATTCTATTTCATTGCTAGGGGACTGATTCAAAGCTCACTGAAGTCAATGGAAAGATTACTATTGAGCTAGGTGGACTTTGGATCACGCCCTGTGAGACTGCTGGAAGGAAACGAGGGCTTCACAATTATCTGAGAGAAAACAGCGTTCAACACTGCTTATTACCTAGTAGGAGATGGTGATTTATCTTTCTTTGACTATCATTCCAAGGGATCTAGACATGCCTTCACTAATCACTTTGGTATACAGATGATCAAATAAAGAGATTGAGGAGGGGAGTAGAGTATTGATAAGGGTCTTCTTGCCCTGAAACTGCAATGTACAGAGGTTTTTTGCATTTCAATACTGTGGCTGTCAGTTAGGCTAAGAAAGCGTTCTTTTCCACTGCCATAAAGTCAACTAAGTATAGATCAGGGATACCGTTCCAAGTAGTGGACAGCTTAATGAATCTGCTTTGTCTCTGTTTGGAACCAGAACATAGTGGAATCTTTCTCACTAGGAAGACTTTTCCATCTATTTAATTAAGATCACTTTGATCTGAATGATTCTGGCTGTGGTAACATGAGAACCCAGAAGACTGGACAAGCATGCCATCATCTCAAAGCTGAGTGCCACCTGATCTTGCCAGCTGAGATTCTGGAAGCGCAAGGCTCTGCCTTGTGAGAGGGACCTTTGTTACTCACAAATAGTGAAAACTGGACTGGTGAGGGACTGTTTGGAGTCCATTTTTTATGAAGATTACTAATACCTCCTTTTGGGGAGAAAAAAACGTACTAGACGCTCTCAACTGAGTTGTTAGCCTTTTGCTCAGGAAGCCATCACTGGACAATAGCAATCTTGCCAATTATGGCTCAGTCTCAAAACTTCTTTTCTTGAAGAGAGTGATTGGGAAAGTTGCAGCAAGATGCCTCTGGGATCCTTGTGCTCCTTTTCAGTCTATTTTCCAGCAGGGATGTTGTGATTGCATTAGTTTTCTTGGCCAGTGACTTTGGCCAAAGGCTGCATCTCCATGTGGATTCTTTTAGCTATTTCAGCAGTTTTTGATATCCTTGCCCAAGAGTAATTGTAGACCTAATATGAGGCTGGAGAGAGGTGCTTTTGGTGGCTCTGTTCTTCCTCTCTAAAAAGGGGAAGGATGGTCCAGTGATTAGAGGTAATTAGCATGCTCTGCCATCTACTTCACTGCAACACTGTAACATCTTGACCCAATGTGATCTGTTTCATTTCCCTGCTCTTACCAAGACTGGGATCTTAGTTGGTTGTGGGACAGACATGCGAAACTCAGGACTGATGGATACCATCCTGTGCATCTTAGTGCACGAAAGGTGGTACCCGACTAGATTGGATATAGGCTGCAGGGTGGGAATAATACCTTTTAAAAGGATGCCTTCAAGCATTTGTTTTATAAGCTGTTAAAATGGTGTTTTCTATTTGTAGTAATGAGTTAGAAGCATGAAAGTAAACCGATTACTTCCAGAGTGATTCTGACCTTATCCATCAGGCAGGCATTGATTTTCCTCGTAATTCTAATGGAGCTGAAAATAGCATGATTTTTTCTTTTAAAAGGTGGAGCCACTGTCACAAACACTATGCAGAGTAATTACTAAATATCATGTGGCTTGTGATACTCTTAGAAGATTGAAAATAATGGCAGTTTCTCTGTTTCATTATTTTTAATCAGGTAAAGGTTGGTCCTACCACCCTCTGTTTCTTATGGGGCAGCTCGGTTTTGCAATGGGGTATCTTTTCCCCTTCTAAAGCATAAGCAAAAAGATGAATGCAGTGTAGTTGTAGCTGTGTCAGTCCCAGGATATTAGAGAGACAAGGTGGGGGAGGCAGTATTTTATACTGGACCAACATCTGTTGGTGAGAGAGCTTGTCAAATGCTTGTCTCTCTCACCAACAGAAGTTGGTCCAATAAGCAAAAAGATAGAAGGGAAAAGATGAACTGGGTTTGTTGTTTAACTTAAGCTCCCTCTGCTGGCTGACTGCCTCTACAGCAACAGAACATAATTGTGACCAATTGGACCAGGGGTCTTCAGACCTAGGGGAGAGTTCAGCTACTGGTTAGAGCTGGACCTAGGGTGGGCACAGTCCAGGAAACAAGCCGAGGGTCAGTACAGGTGGGACAGAAGCCAAATGCTAGAGCCTGAGGGTAAACCAGAGTTTGTAAGCGAGAGGCAGAGCCAAGGACCAGTACCAGAGAGACTGAAGCCGAATCCAGAACCAGAGGGTCAATCAGAGCAGTAAGCCAGAGACAGAGCCTGGGATTGAAGCCAGAGGGGAGCAGGGGCTGGAACAAGGGCAAGCACAGCTGCAGACGTGGTGCACATTGAGCAGGCTTATAAGCAGGGTTGCTAAACCAGCAGCCAGTCGGGGATGTGGCCACTCTGTCAATCCCAAGGCAGTACAATGGGCTCACTGGTTGCCTAGCAGGGAAGTTAGTCAGGGAGCAGGCCACTATCTGGACCTAGCTGATCTGATCTGTGACAATAGTTGTAGGATGGTACATCAATAGCAGATATTTGAAGTAAACTCATTCTCAAAGAGTGGCAAATTTTAACAAACACAGATATTTATAATCCATACAGTATTCTCCACCAGATTTTCTGAGGTCAAATTTTAGGCTATTTTAGCACACTAGTGTTCTTTTTAGCAGTTTACTCATAGTCATTTATCAGCTTATAACGCAGTGACTTCTTTGGTTGGATACCAGCATCATTGAGGTCATCACCACAGCCCTGGGAGTGGTCTGAGTTAGGTACCAGAAGAGTCTTTTATCAAGGGATGGAAGAGACACAAATATCTAGAGACTGATTCTCTTCTTACATTAGCATACATCAAGGATATCTTCAGTGATAGCCTTGGAGCGACACTTGTGTCAAAGCAGCAGGATATTTCAGGAATGGGGATGAGGTTTAAAAATAAAATATTTGGAATCTAGACAATTTTCCACATATATTTAAGGTGAGATTTTTTTAAGGAGCCTAAAGAAGTTGAGCGCGTAACATCCTTAGTTCCTTTCAAAATCTCAACCTTAGACAAACTCTGAGGCATCTCAGAGTTCCACAAAATCCATTGAATCACATAGGCAAATAAATACAAGTTTCATTTCTTCTATAGATTTCTAGAGTCCTGGATTGTGAATTGCAAGGGGCCATGACTGCTGCTTCTGCCACCAGGCTCACAGGCTGCTAGACTTGGTGGTTTTTTAAAATTTCTTAAATCTACAATTTTAGAATGAGTGTCCTGCATTCTCGTGTTTTTCTGGCAGTGATCCATCCTTGAGGAAGACACACCCTTCTTTGTATTTTCACAAAAATATCTTAGTGGCAAAACTGTAAAAGGACAGCATCAGGGCATATTTGGCCCAAAATGTAGATCTTGTTTAAAACAAAACAACAAACAAGCGAACAAAACCCTCACACCTTTTACAACGCCTAAAATTCCTAAGATCTACAACATCAGACTTACCACCACATGGTGATAGGGTCAGTCTGTCATTGTGTACAAATGGAGAGTTCCCCAGACATAGTTGTGATGGGGGAAATTCAAAAAGAAAACAAGCAGCATAAATTGTGCAATGTATATTGGATTTCCAGATTCTTTTTATGAATTGTAATAACCCGAGTGGCTATTAGTAAAATAGGTAAGCTAATGTGTTTGTTCACAATAGAAGATTTTTAACCATATCATGTCATGTGAAAAAAACAAACAGCCCTATGCAAAGTAAATTCAGCATCGCTACTCAGTAATTGTATTTCTTTTCTCACATCCCATATTTAATCACTGATTTTTTTTCCCATTCTTTTCTTGTCCTTTTAATTTTTCTAGGAGAAAAAGATGTGATCATTTTAGGAGATTTTAACCAAGCCCCAGACAGCAGTGACCTCGATCTTTTGAGAAAAGAAAAGTTCCATCACCTAGTCCCTGCAAATACATTTACAAACATCAGCACAAAGAATCCTCAGGGATCTAAGTCGCTGGATAACATCTGGATCAGTCGAAGCTTGAAAAAGATCTTCACAGGTAAAATGTCTCTACCAGCGGAAACAATGTTTGAAATCACCTTCTTTATATGACCCCTTCTAGACTGGCATCTTGACTCACCCATGGATAGTGTTACCTCAGCAGCAGCCCCATTGATGTCAGTTGGAGTGAGATTCCTCATGTGCATAAGTGTTTGCAGAATTGGGCCCTAGGTCTTATGTGAATTAAGCTTCTTTCCTCTGGCCCCTTTCCATACTAATCTTTGTCTCTGCAATTGTTCTTCATGCAGGTCACTGGGCTGTTGTGAGAGAAGGCCTTACAAATATATGGATCCCTGATAACTGGTCCTGGGGAGGAGTGGCTTCAGAACACTGCCCTGTATTAGCTGAATTTTACATGGAAAAGGACTGGAACAGAAAAGAGGTGACCCGAAATGGAAACGGGGTGACCGTGGAACGCAGTGACTCAAACATTAAACACGAACGATGATGAACTAGGGCATGGCAGGGCCCAGTCAGAAGATCCCATTGCTTGAGGCTCAACTGTGAAGCAGAACTGCCTTCCTCCCCCTGCCATTTAGAAAGCATCAGCCTCTGCTTCTGATGATGTCTCTCCCCTACCCCCCCCCCCAACCCTCCCGGTGCCCCTCGTGGGTGTTTTAGGGTATCTCACTGCAGCAGAGTGATTTGTAACTTTTTATGGACGCAATGGACGCTTTCACGCCTGGGGACTTGGAGGAGAATCATACAGAAAATAAAATGCACTTTTACTACGGCACATTATCTCTGTTAAAACCCAGCAGAACAGGGCTTTTGTTGTTGTTGACATTTTTAATTGATTCCTTGTAAAGTGAAGCAATAATGAAGACCATAAAAAGAGAAAAGAGACACACCTTGGAAACTGTCAGTGATTTGTTTAACCCTTGCAAAAACTGCCATGGCGTAACATTTCTTTCCGACCAATACATGATCTGAACTGAGGATTATATAGGGCTAGTTTGAGTCCTTTGATCTCGGAGAGGCAAACCTATTCCCCAGTTCTCCCCTTGCTCTTGAAGGTGGAGAGTAATTTACTTCATCCTTTTTCAGAATCCAGCTTACTCCCCCCCGTGCACCCAGCCAGCTACTCAAGCTGGCAGTGAATGGGTGGAGCCAAAGTTGCTGCTCCTCTCTGCCTCCTTGCTCACAGGGTGAAATATTGGCGGAGCAGTCCCTGCTTCCCACACTGCAGATGGAGCTGTAATCTGAGTAACCCTGGTATGGCTGAGCAGAGAATTTGTGGTGGTCTTGGAGACAATCTAGCCCATGGTATTTATCCATGAGTTAGCATTTTTAACAAACAGCTGTCTCCACAGTGCAGTGGTGCATGTCAGTGGGGTGTGAATTCTAATGCTAACCAACATCATCAACCAGGACTAAATTAACGTGCACAAGAGAACTTTTAGTGCACACCAGCAGGCTCTACACAGGCCATTAGTATGCGACACTTTGGTGCACATTAGAATTCACACCCCACTGATATGCACTACCACATCAGGTAGGCAAGCCCCAACTTTTTCTTTCCTGAAAGCAGAGGGAATACAGTCCTAGAGTCATGAAGTTTAAGGCCAGAAGAGACCACAAGTTCATCTAATCTGACCACCTGTATATCACAGGCCACTAATACCACTCAGCACCCATACACTAAACCCAACAACTGAAATTAGACCAAAGTATTACAGCCCACTGGAGACTGGACTGTTATGGGCCACACAGGCAGAGAACAGGAGGGACTGAGGTGCACCAATGCCCAAGGCCACCACCATCTTAGGGAAATGATTAAATGAGATATATCTGGACAGTCCTTTCTTGAACATGGTGTGAAGTGTGGGGCAATGCTGGGGGAAGTTTGTTTCCCTTGTCTGTCCTGTGGCGAGAGGACTTCAGTAAACAGGCTGTCAATCCAGTGGCTGGAGCCAAGCACTACATTTGCACATATGCACAGTTCTCAAAGTAATTATTGAAAAGCAAGAGACATAAAGCCAACCAGGATATGAAAGAGCAAATCAGCATTTACCGAAGGAATGTGTTGAGTTTGAAAGGAGCCGTAGCCCTGCCAAATGGCCTGCTAAGGTGCACTCTGTTCTAGGCTCTAACAGATGATCCAGCACATTTTCACGATTCATGACAAGAAAAGGTTTATAACCTTGTGCTATGGAGAAAAAATAAATCACAGCTTTCTATCTGAGTGGGTTATTATAAGTGAGTGCTTAAAAGCAAAATACATTAATCTCCCCACACCACTTTCATTGTACTGGCTTTTGCAAATAATGTCTGAACACTTAGTTAGTAGTAAAGTGATATCACTCGCACATACACATTTTGTTATTTTGCAGAAACAATTATTTTGAACAGATTTTCTTAAATAAAAAAAAAGGAAACTGGAATAAAATAAACCTCTTTGGACCTGATTCTGAACGCACACCGCTCTAAATCCTGGGTTAACTCCACTGAAGACCGTGAGAGGTATGTCAGGGTAAGTGAAGTCAGAACCAAGCTCTTTGTCTAAAGAGAATTTGCAACAGGCTAGCCAGGTTCTGAGAAGAAATTTGTTGTTCACTCTCCCTTTCCAGTTTTAGCTAATGGATACAGCTCAAACACACCCAATTCAATTACACTGTTGGTTTAAGGTTGGGGAGAAAATAAACCCTACTCAGAAAAATGAACTTTGAATAGCAAATAGAAGATTACTTCATGAAGTATTCATAATGTTTGTTACAGACTCTTCTATTAGCTTTCAAGTTAAGGGGGAAATGTATTGTTAAACGTAAAACATACTGTAGTGTAACCCTTTCCTAAATGTTTCACGAAGCAAAAGATTTAATACATAGCTTGCAGTTATATCGCACCTTCCATTCATAGACACCCTGGTTCTGGAAACCCTGTGCACATGCTAAACTTTCAGCACAGGGGTAATCCCATTGACTTCTTAAATCCATGCATGAATGTTTGCAGGATTGGGGCTATAGATCTCAGAGGATTTTACAAAGATATGTCCTTTGATTCACATTTTCACACATACAGAGAAACTGAGGCACAGTGACTTGCCCAAAGTCACAAAGTGAGTGACCAGCAGAGTTTGGAATAGCATCCAAGAGGTTTGCTAATGCCTAGTGCTGCATGGACCTGATTCTGGCATCTTTACTCATGGTGAGTGGCACCTAATTCCTCAATCCCACTGAAATCAACTGATCACTTGCAGAGTCAGGTATTACTCAACATGAGTAAGGGTGGCAGAATCCAGGCGTATATGGACAACCTATCAGCAGGAAAAGATTCATAGAGTTTTTCTTGCTTTTTTTTTTAGTTCTTAATATTTTCCTCCTGTAAAAATGGCTGGAGACTGAATTTACCTTTTAGCTAATGAAATAAAAGTTAAATGGGCCAGATCCTCAGCTGGTGTGAATCAGTGGAGTGGCACTGAAGTCAATGGAGCTATGTTGATTTATACCAGCTGGCAGCCTTTAAACTGTAGTGGGTACAATCAGAAAAGTGGCTATAAAATGGCCTGGGGGGGAATCTCTAGGGTCACAATGTGTAGAGATTGCTGGCAGAGCAGGTTAACTGTAGCTGAACATTAGCCTTCCTGCTGTACAGGTGCTCCAGGAAAGGTTGGTGAGGTAGGGTTGCAGGCTGCAGGCCAGTGAGGTTCCCCAGGAGAAAGGCAGGAAACTGCACGCAGAGTAGCTGTTTGTAAGCAGAAAGAGGAGCTGTCATGGAGAAGGAGAAGTCTACAGCATGGAGGAAACAGCCCAGATGCTTTTGATTCCTGGCTATGTACGGTAAGTGAATTTCACCTCTGTGTGAGAGGGAAGTGTAAGATATAGGTGGGATAGCTCAGTGGTTTGAGCATTGGCCTGCTAAATCCATGTTTGTGAGTTCAATCCTTGAGGGGGCCATGGAGGGATCTGGGGCAAAAATCTGTCTGGAGATTGGTCCTGCTTTGAGCAGGGGGTTGGACTAGATGATCTCCTGAGGTCCCTTTCAACCCTGATATTCTATGATTCTATTATATCCCATTGGGACTTATGGAGATATAAATGGTGCATAGGCCTCTTGCTTGCCCTCTGCACAAGGGACTGTAGCAGCCATTAAGGGAAGTTTGCTCAGTTTGTTGTACATGGTCCTCTCTGAAGAGGATGGGGGTGGCATTAATAGCTTTTGTTTGGAGTAGGGGCCTTTTGCTTTCCAACACTCTGACAGCCTGCTCTCATGTAGTTCTCCTCTCGATAGCATCTCCATCGTGTTTACTCCGCTTCCAAACCAAACCCTGCAAATGCAGCCGGCTGTCTCCAACTCACATTGTGCTCCTTCCTGTTGCATTCATCTTAACCAGCAACTCAGAGGAGAGAAGCAAAACGTAGCAGGCAATTTTTGTGTGTGTGCCCCTAAGGCAGAAGCAAAAGTAGCTCACCTTTCCATAGCCATGTTGGCTCCGCAGTGCTGACAGTAACACAAACTTGGGCCTGTCAGCAAACTAAGCAGATGGGATTCAGCCAGTGCAGAGAGGGGCTGGAACATCGTGCCATCTTTACAAGCCACTTGATATTACAGATAGGTCCAAGCTACAAACTTGAATAAAGATCTGGATTTTGAACACACATCCCCAACACCTATTCAGGATGTTTAGATATGGAAGGGGAAGGGGGAGTGTTTGAGCTCTTAGGGACACACAGGTTAGGTAAGACATTCAGATCTGGAGCCAGTTGTAGATTCTGAACCCATCCAGCCTTAGGGGGTGTTTTGTGGATCTGGGTTTGGTTGGAGCCTATCACTACTTGTTAATCATTATAACCACACACTTTAATTCAGTTAATGTCTGAGATGCTGTACTTTCCAAGTGACCAGCTCATATGACTCTGTTTTACCCTTTCAAAGGAGGCACTATTCTCAGAGCAAGTTGTGAAAACCGACAAGGCTGCTTACTATATATCTAAATCTAGAGTAGCTCCGTTGGAGCCACTCTGCATTTACACCAGCAAGTGACTCCACTGAAAGTGAATGGAATTAGTCACACCAGTCTAAATACAGAGTAAGAGCTAAAGTTAGTCTACAGTTTTCTTCCATCCTCAGGAAACACAATCCATGTATTGGTGAAACCAAGATTCTCAAAGTCTTTGTTCACTTTTAATTGAAAAAATAAAAGAAAGATTTTTTTTTTTTTTTTTAGGCAGCTATGAAAATGACCCACCTAGAGTAAAGGTATGTGCATAGCTATAGCTTAGAGCTGTTCACCTCCGTTAATTCTATCTGCCACCAACCTTTATATAGGGGCCCAGTAAAGTTGTCTGACTGTCTTTGTAGTCAAGTTTGCTGTGTGATAGACACTAGTATTTTCCTTTTGGTTCCACTTTAGGGTGTGTCTATTGTTTTGCGAACCTAGTTTATATCCAGCTTCAGATCACAGTTAAGAAGAATTTCACTAGGCAAGACTGTAATTAGTGAGGTGTTTAGTTCTCTGTAGTATCATTTCTCTTTTCATCTCCTCCTCACCACATACCCGAATTGACAAACATCTTAGAACACACAGGATTAAATCCTCCTTGATTTCTTCAGCTGCCTTGTCCTGTTGACTTCAGGATCTGGCCTATGCTGTGTACCAATAACCTGTGTTGCGTACTGGTTACCAGCTTGTACAATTAGGAGTGTGCGTATAATACACGTCAATTGGTCAGATGACTTCAGTGACTTATTTAACAACACAGTGTTCTAAATGGTCTGCAGAAATAGTCTGGCTCTGGGCAAAATGTTTCCTGAAAGGTCTCTCAGGCCAATATAGCCTAAAAGAGTGAACGCCAAAGAATGATTAAATGGGTAATTCTGTCCTAGAGATGGGTTTTATCA